CCACTGCAGCCGCTTGGGCTGAATTTTGACATCCCCTAGTGCAGTTAACAATGGCCAAGGCTAAGGTAGAGGCGCTCCGCAGGATGTTGCAGGAAGCTCGACTGCCGGAGGAGTTCGCCAACCACTGCATCACCACCCTCAAGATGGAGTCGATCGAGGACTACGTCAACATAGTGACCGTCAAAGACTATGAGACAGAGTTGAAGGTCGTGCTCACGGACCAGTGTGCGGCCACGAAGGACTCTGCGCTCATGTTGGCACGGGCCAGATCGGCCTGGAGGGCTGGCCGCACCATTGTGCTCCGCAATGAACACAAGCGCCAACAAGGTGAGCCTGTCGAGGATATGGACTGCGCACTTGAACAGTCCACCCAAGAAAGCCTCATGGCGCAATTCGAGGCGACCTACCAGATCTCCTTGGATATCCACTGGATGCCCGCTGACACGCTTCTGGGCAGGGTCTTCCGTGAATGTCAGCGTTTGATGCCAACCGTGATTCCTGCTACCAAAATCCGCTCCCTCTACTGGGCCGCAAAGCCCCGCAACGAGAAGGCGGTGGTGTTGTCCGACCAGGTCAAGCTTCAACTTGATAAGGACGAGCAGATGCCAGTGAAATCCGTGCTGGAGTACTATCGCTGTCTCAGGATTTTGGGGCACGCCTACGCCATCGTTGGGCAGCACAAAAGTGCCTTCTAAGGAAAAACCAGGCACGGACGTCGTCTTCGCGCCGCTCTCCATCAACCTGAAGTACCCAGACACAGTCCTCCGCATCGCCAGTTCATCCAGCTTGGGGCCGTCTGACCTCCTCAACTTTGTCCGGCAGAAAGACGAGAGCACCCGTGCTCGCCTCGTGGAGCTGGTGCGGCAGGGCTACCCGCAGGGCGAGGCCCTTAACAAGGCATGGGCCGAGTTCGAGCTTCATTGGATCACGGCTCCATCCAAGCGCCCCGCAGAGGAGGCCAACGCAACATCACCAGAGAAACGCCCGCGCACTGGGCGAGAAGTCAATGGCATGGAGCTGTGCAAGAAGTGGAATGACAACAGGGGATGTGATGGAACTTGTGGCAAGCTGGACGCTTGCGATGTCATGCTGTCCGATGGCCGCATCTGTGCCAGCAAGAAGCACAACCGCATGACATGCCCACACCGGGCAAGCAAGTGAAAGGATGGCCGCCCAGGGCAGCCGGGGAAGCCCCAGGGTGAGGCCATTGACTCTGCATTCCCCGACAGCACGCAACATTCCACCTTGCCTAAACACGGTGCAGTCGCTCACACTCAAACCGATGGGGGTGGGCTGCAACTCCCTGGCAACAGGGCCCCACCCCCGAACTCGGCTCCAGAGCGGCTCCAGAGCAAACAAAGACCGACCCCCTGCCGACCCATCGGCGTGCCCCCTCTTCAAGCTCTGGGGGTGGGCTGCAACTCCCTGATCACAGGGCCCCACCCCCAGCCGGGCAAGCAGCACGCAGGTCTGTCGCCAGTCAGGTGCCAACTCCGGTTGCGAGCCCGCGAGCCATTCACTTTGAGGGCAAGGCATCATCTGGCCAACAGCGCGGGGTCAGTGCACAAGCCCAGCAGCCCAGTGAGCAGGAAGCAACAGACGACCCAGCCAGGCAGGTCACTTTCAGTCCAAGCCAACCGAAAGGGCCTCGGCGTGGCAGTCTCGGGTCGCCTTTCCCCTCCACACTGCCCCAGTCACAGCCTTTCGTGACATACCGTGGCAGCTCCCCACTACCGCAGCTGCCGTGGAGCCTCCCCTTTACGGGGCCAATTGTGGGGGCATGGGGCTGATGTCTCGGAAGATGCCCGGGGCTTCGATGGCCCCAATGAGGCGGAAGCCCTCCACAAACCTCCGGCCTAAGGTGCAGTCAGGCCACCTGAGAAGCAGGGTCAGGACTGTTAGCGGGCGCTGACATTCTTGTGCATGCAGGCCCGCAGGCTGGCTTCCCAAGGCTGCAAGCTGCAGTGACGCCAGGTGCATATGCACGGCCCCAGGGTGCACATCCCTCGGCACGCGAAGCTGGCATCGTCATCAAGGCACGCGCTTCTGTCAAACTTGCAGGCAGGTGGCGAATTGCATGTGGGCCTGCTTACCTAGCCCTGGGGGAATCAGCGGCATGAGGGCGTGCTTGGAGTTGGGCCCGCCCGCTTGTTGGCCCAAGGCGCGTTTGCTGTCCGCAATCTGTTTCTGTTGCCTCCATTGTGGGCCCAACTGTCACCTGGCAGGCGGCGGAGCTGTGTGTCTACCCAGTAACACTGTAGACGTGCCAGCGCTCTGTCAAGGTCCCGCGGCGGGTCCAGAGGCAGGTCAACTGGGAGACCTATGAAAGCCTTTCTGGCCACAGCTTCTAGGTGGGCCCATTTAAGGAGGCCCGGGAATTCCTCCAGCAGGTCCGGCTGCCACACTGTGCCACGGGCGTGGCTGCGGATGTGTGCTTCAAGGCCCACGTGCGACGCAGGGGCAATGGCCGCGGCTTGGCTGCACAGTTGGAAGGCCACTATGGGCACATGGAAGCTGTTGCCTATGAGAGAACACCTGGTGTTTTCGGCTTGTTGGCTACACTCGCCTGCACGGCCTTTGGGCGCCCACTTGAGCGTGCAACGTGGAATGCCCATCATGGCCTCGCTTGGTTTCGCTTCCAAAGCAGGGCCTTCTCTGTGTAGTTGAAAAGTGGGAACCTCGCGCCATCCTGGTGGAAGCGGTCGAGGGTCTGCACGTCCCCCGTGAGGCCCCGGTCCGGCTTGTGCTTGAAGGCTCTGCTAAACACTGGGAAGCAGTCAAGTTGGTCAGAGGCCTTTGCAACTTGCGCTGGGTCGAAGCGTGGCTGGAAACCTGAGGCAAACTGCACCGTGGCCGGCCAAGGCTTTTTGTGCTCCCATCTGATGGACCAACCATGGGGGCCACGTGTTGCACGCAGTTGTGATGGCAGGCTTAAGTGAAGGAGATCATGCGAGGATTTGGTGCCATCACTGCACCACCAGCACCTACGTCTGGTCCATCCGAAGGAGCCGGCGGAAATAGTGAGCGGAGGTCCATGCATAGCCGCGCATGCCTGATGAAAGAAGTCAGCGCTGGCCACGTGCACGTTTTCAAGCACCTGTATGACGGGTATGCTGATGTTGTGCTCCTGAAGGACTGATCTGCATGCTTGGGCAACGGCCGGAATGGCGTTGAAGAGTTGTGCGCGGGAGCTCGCGGCTCCGGGCCTGTCGCTTTTCAGCAGGCTCACATCCTGACACGGGGAACCACCCATGACAATGACTGCCGAATAGCTACGGCTGGCAAGGAAAGGCTCAACCTGGGAGCGGTCGAAGTGCAGCACATCGCCGCAGTGGTTGACTGGCTGGAACGTGCGTTGGCACACTTCGATGGCGT